CTGCCTAGTTCACCTTAATGGTAGCACCGGCCCTTCCAATGTGACCTGAAGAGCCAACAGTATGCAGATGCTCCCAGCTCTACATTTCTGTTTTATCTCCCAGCTTTCCCAATACATGGATGATATTAGCCCCTGGATGAAGGGCAGCTGGCTAAAAATCAATCCAATCGGGACTGTGATGATGATGGTAGGATAAGAGAATGTTTGAAGAATTGGTTTCTTCAATAATATTCTCTGCTGTAAAGGATATTTACTGTCCAGTTCATTGATCCATAGATTTTAAGGCCAGAAGAGACCTTTAGATCATCTAGTCTGACTTTGTGTGTGTGTGTGTGTGTAGAAACTACTCTCTCTATATATACTGCTCCTGAATATACAACACTACTCCCCTATCTATACATCCAAAAAACATCGTATCACACTGGGAGCTCATGTTGACCCCTAAATCCTTTTCAGAGTCATTGGAGTCATTGCTTTCCAGGATACAGTTCTCCATTCTGTAGCTATGGGCTGCACTCCTTTTTCCTAGATATATAATTATGTATATGGCTTTATTAAAACACACTTTGTTTGATCCAGGTTGCTCTGTATGACTGCCCTGTCCTCATCATTATTTACCATTCTGACAATCTCTCTTTCATCTGCAATTTTTATCAGCAATGATTTTATGTTTACTTCCAGGTCATTGAGGAAAATGTTGAATAGCATCTGGCCTAGAACTGATCCCTGCAGCATCCCATTACAAACATCCCCATTCGATCATGTTTCCCCACGGTGACTATTTTTTGAGATCTGCCAACCACTTTTTAATCCATTTTCTGTGTGCTTTATTGATATTGTATAATGCTAATTTTAAATCATAATGTCATGCGGTACTAAGTCAAATGCCTTACAAGAGTCTAAGCATATTACATCTTCAAAGCTTTCTTCATCAAACATAAGAACATAAGAGCAGCCATACTGGGTCAGACCAAAGGTCCATCTAGCCCAGTATCCTGTCTTCTAACAGTGGCCAATGCCAGTGGCCCAGAGGGAATGAACAGAACAGGCAATTATCAAGTGATCCATCCCCTGTCGCTCATTCCCAGCTTCTGGCAAACAGAGGTTAGGGACTTTTAATCTGATTTAATTTCTTACTAATCAAAGAATTAAATCAAGTTTGTTTGACAAGGCCTATTTTCCATAAAATCATGTTGACTGGTATTAATTATATCCTTATGCTTTAATTTTTTATCAATTTAATCTCATATCTGATTTTCCATTATTTTCCCCAGGATTCATGTCTGGCTAACCAGCCTATAGTCATCTGGGTAATCTCCCTTGCCCTTTTCATATATTGGCATGACTTTAGCACTTTCCAATGTTCTGGAATTTCCCCAGTATTCCTGATTAAAAATTTACATTAGCAAGGCGGAGATCTGCTCAGTGAGCTCTTTTAGGGTCCTCGCGTGCAAGTTTTACTGGGACTGCTGATTTAAACACATTTTTCTCTATTAGATGGTGTTTGATTACAAATCACCTGGAATGGATTTCATCAGCCTCATGTGATACAAATATATCATCCTTCGTCTTTCCAAATACAGAACAGAAATAAATATTTATTGAATGCTTCCCCTTTAACTGTATCATTAACAACATATTTACCATCTCCATATAGTAATGGGCCTATACCGTTGCTAGGATTTCTTTTGTTTGTAGAATACTTTAAAAAATGCCTTTTTGATGTCCTTAGCCCTGCCAACCGTGGATTTTTCCCTGGTGTCTTTATCAATTTTCTACGTTTCACAACTTCTAATGTATATTGATTGCTATCTACTTCCCCATTTTCTATTTGTTAAATGTTTCTGTTTTACTTCTAATTGCTGCCTTCATTTTGCCACTGAACGAGGATGGACTTTTAGCAAAGTTGGTTTCTTTCTTGACTGTGCAATCATGGCTTTTTGGTCATCTTATAAACTCTTCTTAAAGAGCTCCCAATTTTCATCCTGGGCTTTCTTGGTTAGCAATTGTTATGTTGGTTCACAGCCTTGGAGTTTGTTGTATTAATTTAGATGGAATAAATGGCCCTAAGATCAAAGATGTTAACATCACCCAGTCACTGTCCAGCCCTGAACAATGTAAAACAAGGTTCGGGATTTGTTGTACAGAGACCTCAGACTGCTTAGTATCAGGATAAACACACTATTAAAATCTTTTTAGCCTTTTATTAAAGATACAGAAAAATAAGGAAACCAGTTAAAACCTTTGACATGTGAAGTATTAAATAAAGCTTTCATTTTCACCAGATCTCTTGTTCCCTATCCTTTTAGCTGGAGAGAATTTCAGAAGAAAACAAAAACAAAAGCAAAACACCTTGTTTGACAGTCTCTGAGATGGTACCAAAGATGGTAATAATTGTCCATTTGCAGAAAAGAGCAGAAGTTAGTTGGACTGACTGGAGCCATTGTTGAGTTAAAATTTGATCCCGTTTCCTAGAAGATAAAACAAGAGAAACACACAGAGAAGGAGAGAGTAAAGAAGAGCAAAGATAGAAAATGGAGGGTCTGCCTTTGGTGTAAACTCTCACTTGCAGCCTCACTGCTAGAGAGACAGTGGCGCAGCACCCAATCTGATTAGCCACTCAGAGACCTGGCAAGCTGGTACTAGCATTGGGCTGTTTCGGGCATTATTTTTAGCTGCCTCTTCCTGGTAATAGTTTTACAGCAGTGTTGCAAAATATATAGTCTGGGCTGGCTAAGCCAGACTCTTATTAGACAGAAAGGAAAAGGAGAGGGATGGGATAGAGAAGAAATGAGTTAGGAAGGAAAAGGACACATAGAGGGGGGCAGAGAGAAAGACCAAGTGTTACACATCCTGGGGGTGTTCAGGATTTAATTAGAGTTCATGGAGATGGTGAGTTAATGTAGGCCCCTCTCTCTGGGCCAGTCTGGTCAGAACATCTCTTAGGATTAGGATGAAGATGACTCAGGGTCCCAGGGGATGGTGGGGGTTGCAGACATGATGGTGAATTTCACTATATTTTATCAGTCATAATCTTAATATCATTATTTCATTATATCAGTAGGCCTTTCGCTTGCACTAATTCAGTCTTTGTCTTGCTTTTGTACCTTTTCCATCAACACTCGTTGTTATAGGTGATTGTGACACTTCATGGGTAGGATACATTTTTGGGCCCACTTATTGGAACACATTCTCCTGGATCCTCAATACTACTGCTTGGCAAAATATATAACCTGCTCCTATCTCTGACTGGCCAGAAGAGTGTATCTCATTGTCACAGTGTGTGACTGCCTTGCAGTGCACCCATCTGTCTAAGTGTAGCATTCCAGGCACTCCCTGCTCTAATAACCCACGTCAAGTCCTCTTGACTCAATGTTACCCACCCTGGAGCTAATTTATTAAAAAACCTAGTGGAAAATAGTCCATAATGAAAGTCCCAAATAAACAAAAGGCTTTTGGGACATCTCTGAGGCCCACCCTCTGAAACCTGCCATAGTCCCCAGAAGGTTACGTCTCAGTCTCTGTATCTCTACTTATGGCAGATGCCCACAGCCCTCCTCCTGAGTATGGGTAATTAATGCAATTGTTCCCTCTCTCCTTAAATTAGGTATCCCCAGTTCTCCTCCAGGAGCAGGGCTGTAATTTAGACCACTGTAGGGTCTTAGCCAGCTGCTCCCTCAGCTGGTCCTTTTCCCTAGTTAGTGCTCAAGGGTTAAGCAGCCTCATCTTCTCCTGTGTGTATGCCTTGTTATGACAGAGGAGGGAGCATATATGTTAGTCCC